TATTCTATTCTATTCTATTCTATTCTATTCTATTCTATTCTATTCTAGTCAGTTGCAGCATCCCAGGGTTAGGTGATTTCCATTTGCGACTTTCCCAGCCAGCTTCCCACAAGCAAAATTAGTGGGAGGAAGCCAGATTCACTTAACAGCAGCAATGATTCACTTAACAATGGTGGCAAAAAAAGGTTGTCCATTTTGACATGGCTCACTGAACTGTCCTGCTTAGCATGTAATCCTCATTGCGCTTGTAAGTCAAGGACGGCCTGTACTCGCTTAAAGATCCTCTCCTCAACCCCAAATAAAAATTCCTCCTCCATTTTATTCCGTCTGCTCAGGTCAAATCAGATAAGAAAGCCAGAGGCACGCATGCTGGTCAGAGGTTGGATTCAGCAGGTTCTGACCAGTTCTGGAGAACCGGTAGTGGAAATTTTGAGTAATTTGGAGAACTAGCCAATCCCACCTCTGACTGGCCCTGCCAACCCCATCTATTATCTGCCTCCCATTGAGTCCCATCTGATTGGCTGGGTCTTCTTTGGTTGCCCTGCACAGGAAAATGGAGCTGGAAAGCAGGTTAGTGGGGTGGGGAGGGAACGGGGATTTTGCAGTAACCTTCCTCTGCGATGCCCATCTAGCCATGGCCACCAAGCCATTCCCATAGAACCAGTAGTCAAGTTTTCTGAATCACGGATGCTAATGCTGGACCTTATGTAATGTAGTCTAAAACCATGGCAAAAAACCTTTCAAAGGGTCCCAAGAAAAGGCCATTTGAGGAGGTGGCTGAGCAGTTCTGTCCCAGGATGAAAATACAGGTGGTCCTTTGACTTACAACAGTTCGTTTAGTGACCTTTCAAAGTTAGCATGCACTGAAACCAGGGACTTTTGACTGTTCCTCACACGGCCAAGGCAGCCTCCCCCTTGTCACACAATCAAAATTCAGACCCTTGGCAACTGACTCGTACTTATGATGGTTGCCGTGTCCCCGTGATCCCCTTTTGTGACCTTCTGACAAGCAACGTCAATGGGGAAGCCGGGTTTACTTAACAACCATGCTCCTAACTGAGCATCTGCAGGGATTCACTTAACAACGGTGGAAAGAAAGGCCACAAAAGGGGGGCGAAACTCACTTAACAGCTGTCTCGCTTAGCATCATACATTTTGGACTCAACTGTGGTCGTAAGTCGAGGCCTACTTGTATTCCCACTGGCAAGAAAGCGCCTCTGGTGGAGAAGTTCCAGGGGCAAGCCTCTTTCACCTGGGTTTGGTTGAGAATTCAGGGGTGGGACTCTACTGGTACCGACTGGTTCTATAGAACCAGTTGTTACTATTCCGCGCAGTTCGGAGAACTGGCAAATCACACCACTGCCTGGCCCCACCCCTCCCCACACGCCCCACCCCACCCAGTCACTCCACACCATCCAACTTGCCTGCACTGTACCTTTGCCCAATTTTTGGTAAGCTGCTATTTTTCCATTTTCCTCCCCGTGATCATCAGCTGTTCCGACTATCAGCTATGCCGGGCGATTTAGATTAGCTAGAAAGCAGGAAATCGATGGATTTCTTGCTTTCTAACTAATCTAAATCGCTTTTGTACTGCTTTGCCTTCTCCCAGGAGGCTTCGCTGTCAGGGGTGGTATCCAAGGGCTTGAGGGAGGAAGAAGCGGCCTGAGAGCAGAGCTGAACCTTCCTTAGGACTGAAGCTTCTATTTTTCATTGCAGACTCAGGCAGCAGATTGCAGAAAGGTAGATCTGCGAGTGAATCTGTGATTCCGGGAGCAACTCAATCTGCCTGCCTGCTCTGCCAGATTTGGGGTAAAAGTTGCTCTCTCTTTTTATAAAAAAATCCAATATTTACGTAAATATTTACAATATTTACATATAAGCCATGCCCAGCCAGTTACGCAACCACCAAGCCATGCCCCCAAATTAGGCCACGCCCATAGAACTGGTTGTTAAGAAATTTGAATCCCACCCCTGGTTGGGATATGTCATAGGGCCACTGCCTGAATCCCTTGGTTATGGCAAGCCTATTGAGGAAATGCAGCCCTTGTGCTTCGTAATCATGGAGGATGATGGCTGGGAACTAGACAATCATGGTTTGGGATGTGGCCTGGAACTCACCAGCTGACTTGTTTGGCCCTTGTTTGTCTGTTCCTTTTGCCTTCCGGAAGGGATGGAATAATAGGAGGACAGGATTCTCCACCAAGGTTGGCATCAGGTTCTTGGTCAGTAGGAACCACCTCTGGGTCCAGGACGCTCATGACTTCCTTGAAAAGCTGGGGAGGGAAGGACAGGGGAGTAGAGGGCAGGGTGGAAAGAAGGGAGGGAGGGAAGGGGAGGATAGGGGAGGGGGAAAAGGAAGGAAAGAAGGGAAAGGAAAGGAAGGGAAGGGAAGGGAAGAGGGAAGGGAAGAAGGAAGGGAAGGGAAAGGAAGGGAAGAGAAGGAAAGGAAGGGAAGGGAAGAGAGAAGGGAAGAGGGAAGGGAAGGGAAGGAAGGGAAGGGATGGGAAGAGGGAAGGGAAGGGAAGAAAAGGAAGGGAAGGGAAGAGGGAAGGGAAGGGAAGGGAGGGGAAGAGGGAAGGGAAGAGGGAAGGGAAGAGAAGGAAAGGAAGGGAAGGGAAGAGGGAAGGGAAGAGGGAAGGGAAGGGAAGGAAGGGAAGGGATGGGAAGACGGAAGGGAAGAGGGAAGGGAAGGGAAGAAAAGGAAGGGAAGGGAGAGGAAGGAAAGGGAAGGGAAGGAAGGGAAGGGAAGGGAAAGGAAGGGAAGGGAAAGGAAAGGAAGGGAAGGGAAAGGAAGGGAAGGGAAAGGAAAGGAAGGAAAGAAAGGGAAGGAAGGAAAGGGAAGAGGGAAGGGAAGGGAAAGAAGAAAAGAAAGAAAAGAACTCTGTGAACCCAAGTCTGGCTCCAGACCAATTGCCAAGAGCTATCCAAGGTCAGTGTCAGCCAGCACAAGGCAGTGATTCTATCCCCTGATTTGGTGCTCTCCTGTGCAAACTGGTCAGTGACCAAGGGACAGACAAAATGCTTCCAGGTAATCTGAAACCAACCCTCAACCACAAATAGATATAGGAGGAAAATTCTGGAACAGGCCTAAAAAGGAAAGACACAACTTTGTGAACGGAGTGCACGGAAGCCTCAAAATAAATAAGGAACATGCTAGCTAGAGTAATATCACTTCCGTGTAGAGTACAAAATGTGCCAAAAACAGAGACCCAGAGGAGGCTCTTTTCTGTTTATTTAGCTGATAAACGGTGGGGGCCTCTTTTCTTGAACTTTGAGTTATAATAACAGCAAAAATCCCCTCTCTTATTATTCCTTATGCGTGGGAGATTTAACACGGGGATTTCCTATCCTTTTGAGAATCCACCCTCTGTATCAGCTAAGAGATAGCAAGGGTTGTGATAAATGTGACAAAGTCCACAACTTCCCAAGGGTCTCTGAACTCCGGAAAACTTCCCTGGAACAGAGATAAAATTTCGGCAAAAGCCTCAATTCACCCTGGCGTAAACAAAACTCGACCTCTATCCATCTTGGAGGTCAATTTGTTTGGAAGGCACGTGTTTTCTGCAGAAAGATCTGGATTCAGTGAGAAGTTTTATATCCAAACAGATTTTCTTCTTTATACTGTTTCCATCTTCCTTTAAACTAAGGGTCTTCAAACTTGGCAAGTTTAAGACTTGTGGACTTCAACTCCCAGAATTCCTGAGCTAACATGACTGGAGGAGGAATTCTGGGAGTTGAAGTCCATAAGTCTTAAACTTGCCAAGTTTGAAGACCCCTGATCTATCATCTATACCTGTCTGTCTGTCTATTTATCATCTCCCCATCCATCCATCCATCCATCCATCCATCATCTATCACAAGGGTCTTCAAACTTGGCAAGTTTAAGACTTGTGGACTTCAACTCCCAGAATTCCTGAGCTAACATGACTGGAGGAGGAATTCTGGGAGTTGAAGTCCATAAGTCTTAAACTTGCCAAGTTTGAAGACCCTTGGTTTAAACCATTAACAGAATCCACAATGGTCTGAGTAGTGGTGTCTCCACTAGATAATTGACAGTCAAGCTGAAACTAAATGAATCAAGTAAAAATAGCAAATGTGGGGACAATCCTTAACTCAAACTTCCTCAAACCTCCCAAACAACCCCAGACCCAATCAACATATCAAAGGATAAGGTTTGCAAACACAAATAGACTTGATTAAATTAAGTCTCCCAGCAGGACTGAATGTTCACACGAATACATACATACACAAACACACCACACAAAAACACCCCTCAAGTGTCACCCTAGAATCCACATTTAGGTGCTTCCACACCCAGGACAAGCTCCCCTGTTTGTTTGTTTATTCATTATTTTTACGTTTTTCAATATATGGTTACTTATTCCATTACCATTACATCTTTACTCTTGCTACAAATCAATATATTTCATCTTACACTTCAGTCTTTTCTATAACATATATACATATTTACATACTTCCTCATTCTTTTTCTAATTGCCATTTTATTTTATTTTTATTTCTAAACCACTCATCCCAGGCATCCCAGGCTCTATAATATATTGAATCTTCTTTGCCTTTTAATTTCAACGTTAGCCTGTCCATCTCTATACAGTCTATTATTTTCTTTATAACCATGCCGTCTGATGGTATCCTTTTCTCCTTCCAAAGTTGTGCATACGAAATCCTTGCAGCTTAAGATTAGTATATGTAATATAATGTACCTATCTTTTTTTATTGCATTTTGTGTTGCTTTACCTCATTTTTACCCCTAAAGGCAAACGGTTTCCTTTTAGGAATAAATATTTCTTACTTTCCTCACAGCTGTCTGGATCTCATTTTTATTTATTCTTCTGCGATTCCGGCTCAAGCTGGAACCTCAAATAAGTCTTCTGACAATTCCATATCATGAAAAATCAGCGTGTCCTTCCCACACGCATGCTTCTTTTTCTGAGGCGAAGACAGAGGTCGTCCTCAATTTATGACTGTAATGGAGCCCTGAATTCCTGTTGCCAAGCGAGACTGTTGTTAAGTGAGCTTTGCTCCATGTTGTGACCTTTCTTGCCACAGCTGTTAAGTGAATCACTGCAGTTGTTAAGTGAAATCTGACTTTGCTTGTCAGAAGGTCACAAAAAGGGGATTGCATGACCCACACACACACCCCTGGGACACGGCCACCGTCATAAACATGAGTCAGGGGCCAAGCGTCTGAATTTTGATCACGTGACCACGGGGAATGCTGCAATGGTCGTAAGTGTGAAAAATGGTCATAAGTCACTTTTTTCCAAAGTGGAATGGTCACTAAATGGACCGTTGTAAGTTGAGGACTATCTCTATGCCAGAAGCAATGACGGAGGACTCCGCGGTCCATAAATGGGAAGCCTTTGTCACTTCCACACTTCCACACCTGACCTTTTTCCTCACCTTCATATGTGAATATGCTTTCCTGTCTTTTTCTGCAAAGGTTGCCATGGAAACATGGCCTAGGGCAGTGATGGCAAACCTTTTTGGCACTGAGTGCCCAAACCGGAATGCATCTGTATGCACATGCATGTGCGTGTGCCAGAGCATTGGAAACGCCAGCCGGCAGGTCCATGCATGCCTGTTTTGGGGGTGTTTTGAGGGCTGTTTTCAAGCTGTTTTGGCCTGAAATCAGCCCAAAAAACAGTCTGGTTTTGTCTGTTTTCTAGGCCGTTTTTGAGCCATTTTTGGCCCGAAAAAGGCCTGAAAACGGCTGTTTTGGGGGGCAGTTTTCTAGCTGTTTTCCAGCCCTCCAGCACCTGCAAAGACCAGCTGGCTGGCACACATGTGCCAGAAACCAGAAGAGCAGCTGGTGATGATGCGTGTGCCCATTGAGAGGGTTCTGCATGCCACTTCTGGCACGCGTGGCATATGTTCGCCATCACGGGCCTAGGGATTTGCTTAGAGGTGCAGGAATCAGGCTGAGAGAGGTTACTAGCTTGGTTCCCATTCATGAATAACAGAATAACCGAGTTGGAAGCGACCTCGGAGGTCTTCTAGTCCAACCCTCTGCTCAAACAGGAGACCCTGTACCAATTCAGACAAATGGTTGTCCCATCTCTTGTCCTGGCTCGTTCTGTCTGATGGTAGAGGTGGCCCTGAAACAGATCCTTGGTCCATCAAACTGACTTCTGCAGCCCCTTTGGGTAGGACATTGTGTCCAGCAGCTCCTCAGCCTGCCTTGCTTCTAGAATAAGGTCCATGGTGCCTGGAGGGACCAGCCAGCCATTGCCTTGCTCCCCACAGAGATGTTCTCCTGATGGACATCTGGCAACTGAGATGTTTCCACAGTCTCCATAGGGGGAAGTCAAAAGAAGCAAGTTGGCAGGTCCAGCGTTGCCATCGAAGTCCCATCCTAGGGCAGGACAAGAAGCAATGGGTGGAAACTAATCAAGGAGAGAAGCAACGTAGAACTAAGGAGAAATTTCCAGACAGTGAGAACAATTCATCAGTGGAACAACTTGCCTCCAGAAGTTGCGGATGCTCCAACACTAGAAGTTTTTAAGAAGAGATTGGATAACCGTTTGTCTGAAGTGGTGTAGGGTTTCCTGCCTAGGCAGTGGGTTGGACTAGAAGACCTCCAAGGTCCCTTCCAACTCTGTTATTCTATTCTATTCTACCTATTGTATAGCAACTAGTCCCCAACATACAACTACACAATTGTGCCCGTTGCTAAGACAGTTGTGAAGTGAGATTTGCCCCCCATTTTATGACCTTTCTTCTTTCTCTTTACTTCTAAGGTTGCTTCTCTCCTTGATTAATTTCTATCCCTTACTTCTTCTCCTGCCTTCTGGTGCTTTGGAAAGCAGGTGGATCCTCTTGTTCTCTGTGGCAGCCCCTCAAATATTGGAACACTGCTATCATGTCCCCGCTAGTTCTTCTTTTCTTCCAAAGATGCCCTTGGTCTGGGAAACTGGCAGGTCAGCACTTACAAAGCAACATTTAGTTTCTCTTTCTTGTCAAGCAACTTTCTTTTTTAAAAAAAACAAAAAAATCCAGCTGGGAATTTACCCCGAGACTTCCATGTTAATGTCATTCATGCACCAAGTCAAGGGATTTTCTTTGCCACCATAAATAGGAATCTCTGTCTTTTCAAAATGCCTGTCAGAATTTATAGTTTATTATGAGTCATAAGTCCTGAGACTCGTCTTGGCAGGAAAAAAAAATACTTGGTATAAATTAAACTATACATTAAATATAGTCTTTAGTAAAAATGATAAGGGGGTCAGGTCCTCAGACCCCAGCTACATTCTTTATTTGCCCAAGCACCCTAACTTTCCACCCCACTAAATGTAGTTTTAGAGGTTTAGAGACTAAGGAGTGGATGAGACAATAGATTAGAAAAGTGTTTCTCAGTCTTGACCATTTAATGATGAAGTGTGGACTTCAACTCCCAGAATTCTGCAACCAGCTGACTGGAGAATTCTAGGAACTGAGGTACCCAGGGTTGAGAAACCCTGCTCAACAATGGAAATATGACTCTAATAAAGCAGAATATTTGTAGCTCAGGATTGAAAGGTGAGGTCCTTGGAGTTCTCTGGGTTTGGTTGTTTTCTTGCAGGCATTTCACTACCAAACTAGGTAACAGCATCAGTATTAGAAGGGAGTGGTGTTTGTGGAGAGGGAGACGGGGAGGAGGAGGACGTGGGGTCCTCGGTGCTCTCTTATCCTGGATGTTTTCTTGCAGATGTTTCATTACCCATACTAGGTAATATCATCAGTGCCAGAAGGGAGTGGGGTTTGTGGAGGAGGAGGAAGAAGAAGAAGAAGAGGAAGAAGAAGAAGAGGGTTAGGGGTCCTTGGTGCTCTCTGAGCTTGGGTACTTTTTTGCAGACCTTTCATTACCAAACTAGGTATCATCATCAGTGCTCATATGTGACTACTATAACTATTATTGAAATACCTTTGTAAAAACGTGAGCAAAAATGCATGTTCTCACCTCTGCAGGGATGCTTTCTTGAAAATTTGGGTAGAGTGCTAAAGGGTGTTGGCTGAGGCAGTATTCAACTTGAGCAATGTGATCCTTTTGGGTTTGGCTCATCAGGCCGAGCTTCGAAGTGTTGCTCTGTGGCTCGGTTAACCTCTTTCTGGATCTCTGGGCTGCTCTGAGAAAATTCATAGGTTTCTCAGAGAGAAGAAGAGGGCTAGGTCCCCTTGCCGGTTGGGTGAGGATGCTCTCGCCTGAAGGAAGGAAGGCCTCTCTGGAATAATCCAAATTGCTCCTCAGAAATCGCCAGTGTTGGCCATTCAAGGAAGCGGAGAATCTGGATTTGTGACCGCCGTGCCGTTGAAACAACCAGAAAGGCATGTCTTCACCACCTAGTTCTGAAGAAATAGTCACACTTGTTAGGGGTTATCCCTTGGTTTGGCTGACCTTGAAATGGCTGAAGTGGGCTGAGCCACCCACATCAAACAGACATCACTGATTTTACCTCTGTGTTGAAAAAAAGCTTCTTGGCTTTATTTCATAATTGCAATTTATTCGCATGAGATGTTTTCAGCCTCTGGAAGCACCAGAATGCAGCTTCTGTTGGCTTCGGACTGCACCAGGGGATTTGCACAGCAAACGGAGAGCAATGCCATTTTCTTCCTTCCCTCCCACAAAAACTTCCCAAAGTTAGAAAAAAGGAGGCAGCCCCGCTCCCTCTGGGAGACCCTAACAGATGTTTTTGGATAGCATTTTTGAGACACTCTTTGATGTAGCGTCTCGATAGACGTCACTCCTACTTTTCCTACAACACCTTATTTACTCCAGACCTCCAGGTCCGAGTCTGGAACAGATCTTTTCCTCTCAAAAATGTACTCAATAAAAATGTAATTGCTGTATTCTTATTATCCTTGGTTTAAAAAAAAAACACCCAAACAAAGTTTTTGTTAAATAGTGGCAGCATCGCTGCACTGTATATCGTGGGTTCTCAGAAAAATGCAAGTATTATGTCAGGAATGTTTTCTGTATGATTCCTATTCCTCTTTTGCTCCCGACAAGCTCGTTCTGGTTCCCACAAAGTGTTTGTAATATCAGAGTAATAACATGAAAGTGAAAGGAGGAGGAGGAGGAAGAAGAAGAGAAAATAATTTGAATTAAAGCCCCTTTGTTAGTTTCATAGTGATATTATTATCATTACGGTTCTATTTTCATATTCATTTTTAATCCTGTTTGTATGCTTAAAATATGTTATATTCATTAAAAACTGCACATTCCTCGTCTCACAATTTGGGGAAGAAACCCACCTTGCTGATTTTTATGATTCTTTTAAAAAGTTGACAATGTGGTAGTTATATATATCTGATGAATTTTTCTAGGCATCACCAGCTGATCTTTGTGCTGGTTAATATTGGACAGAGAAACAAGGCCATCTCGCTTCCTGTAAACGTGATGTAGTCCATGCTAAGGACCGATAAATAAATACATAAAATATAAATAAACTTTATACCCAAGTTAAACAAAGATGCTATTCTATTTTCCTTGTAATAGAATCATGTCCCACTGTATACCACCCTAGCATGGCTGCAGCACAAATCTAATTATTTCTACCTTCAATCTTATTCTCGGATTGATATATTTGGAGCTACCAGCTTTGACACTTGTTTGCTGAAGTTATAAAAAGAAAGGAACATACCAGCAGCTAAAAACAGCAGAGGGATCTAGCATTTGCATCCACAACAACAGCGCACAATAGCCCTTTTGCAAATATTTCCTGGAAATGTTGTTTTGGGATTGTGCAGCCCACACCTTTCTGAGTCTGCATCTAACAGTGGGCTTTTTAGTTCTGCAGGAGAGGAGACAATTGATTGTGTCCTCAGAGGCAGGCCAGGAGACCATGGTGTGTTTGGGATTGGTTGTTATGACAACCAGATCTGCCCAGCTATTCATTCATGAGAGCACACATTTGCCTTTTCTTCGGAGCAAAAGTTGTCTGAGAATGCAAGTGGGGGGGGGATTTATTTATTTATTTTATTTGTCAAGCATGTATTAGATAACAGATATAACAGATATAGTTAGAACATGATTATGATTACATGAAATAGGTATGAATAAAAGAGGATATTAGGTAGGCACATTGGTGAGCTTATGCACGCTCCCTGTGATGACCCGGAGTGTAACACAAACGTAACAAAATCCAAAACGTAAATAAATGTCCTTTAACACCTCCAACTTGTCCCCACTGTTCAATAATTCTCAGTTGGGGTGGGGATGCTGCAATGGTTATAAGTGTGAAAAATGGTCAGAAGTCACTTTTTTCAGTGCCATTGTAACTTTGAATGGTCACTCCACACAAGCAAAGTACCAGCAAAGGAGGGGGGGAAAAACTCCAGAGAAGTTCCTGAGACAGGAAGTCTAGTCCTGCCAAGAATGTAATAAGAGTTAACGGAGAGGCAGTTTCTGTAAGCAACACCAGAATGTTTCCTTTCTGCCTTCCTTACAGGATTAGCCCAGTAATTTCTTCTAACAACTGGTTCTCCGAACTGCTTAGAATGTTAACAACCAGTTCTAGCGAATAGGTGCGAACTGGTAGAATCCCACCCCTGTTTAGGACTCTGCACATATGTGTTCAAGCCATATGGTCACTAGGTAGCTGGAGCCAGATACATGATTGTCTATTGTTAGTACTGCTTTACACTGCACTGGTGACAACACCACACTTGGAATACAGCATCCAGTTCTGGTCACGATGATAGGGAAAAAAAACAGTGTTGAGACTTTCCCTGTTAGTGTTGGTACCACAGTGTTATATACTTGTATATAAACAGAGAGTAAACCCCACTTCTTCTAGCACTGATGATGTTACCTAGTTGGGTAATGAAACATCTGCAAGAAAGCCTCCAAGGTTAGAGACCACCAAGGACCCCACAGTTCAACCCTGAGCTACAAATATTCTCTTCTATATTTTGTAACACTCAGTATTTGACCTGGGGAGTGAATAAATCTGAAGAGAATAGAATAGAATTCTTTATTGGCAAAGTGTGATTGGACACACAAGGAAATTTGTCTTTCATGCATATGCTCTCAGTGTACATAAGAAAAAATAAAAATAAAATACATTCATCGAGAATCATAAGATACAACACTGAGTGATAATCATAGGTTACTAATGCACAATCAAAACATACTAGGAAAACAAAACAATATAAATTGTAAAGATACAAGCAACATGGCTATAGTCATAAGTTGGAAGAGATAGGTAATAGGAAGGATGAGAAGAATAACAGTAATACAGTCTTACTAAGTAGTTTGACAGTGTTGTGGAAGTTAGTTGTTTAGCAGAGTGATGGCATTTGGGACAAAAACTGTCCCTGTGTCTAGTTGTTCTGGTGTGCAGTGCCCTATAGTGTTATTTTGAGGGAAGGAGTTGAAACAGTTTATATCCAGGATGTGAGGGGTCTGTAGATATTTTCACAGCCCTCTTTTTGATTCGTGCAGCATACAGGTCCTCGAAGGAAGGCAAGTTGGTTGCAATCATTTTTTTCTGCAGTTTTAATTATCCGTTGGAGTCTGTGTCTTTCTGGGCCTACATAATTCCATAATCACGACACGGCTCATTCTCTATCACTTTTGGGGTGAATTGACCTCAAACTATGGAGAACATCAGAACATGCACCACTATGCCTGAAAGAAGTTAATAAAACTTTATGGAAAAACCCAGAGTTTCAATTTCTAATAACACTACCATTTAGCAGAACTTGGTGGCTGGTTTCGGGAAAATCCCCAGCCTGAGGCTTATTAGAGATTATACCATATCACATTGAAGTCCACAATTAACCACAAAGACCGCAGTGCTTGTGGCCTAGAGATATTTGGAGAAGGTCATGTCTGTGAACCCTCCTGCCCAAATATTTCCCACACGGCATTTGGCAAGGCTTGGCATGCAGACAGGTCGAAGGAGTAGAACTCTACTCAACTGTGTTATACAACCTACTTACATTTGCCAATTAACCTAAGTGTTTTCTCTAAAATAAAGTTGCATTCCTTTACTAGCGATTTATCCAAAGCAGCTGTGAGGTGTTGAAATCTCCAGATGTAGTTCCCCCACCCCACATCCTCAGGACCAGAAAAACAAACTTCAGTAAAACAAGAATTTCCTTCCGAAGCTCTAAATTATTCTAACCTGATGTAACCCTCTTCTCTCCAGTTAGCAAAACATGATTTTTAGCAAGAAAAAGAAATAAAGAACTGATGCTTTTCATAAAGACCATAGGTTCCTACAGTTATTCCCCATTTCTACTGTCCCAGGGGTGGGGGAATACTTTTTGTTTCATTTCCAAGATTCAAATCCCACTGATTCTCCAAAACTTTTTTCACAGAACCCTCTGTCTCCTCCTCCTCCTCCTCTTCCTCCTCTCACTTTCTTCATAGAACTACCCACATGGGAATAATCAGAAACAATGTGTTAGATGACTTCCTTCCTCTTTCAAAATAGCAGAGCTAGGATTTGCTCAGCTGGCATTGAGGGACCACACACACCCACACACCCACACACCCACACAATTTTCCACCTGCTAAAGATTTTTGTTTAACTTTAGGGATTATATGACAGACACTGTCAAGGAGCTACATGCTGTGCCCTTGACGTTGTTTATGGAAAGTTGAGGGAAAATGCATTGAATGCAAACACAGGTACCTGGCCTGCTAGGTATAACTCAGCACCTAGTAATTGCATGTCTACATCCCTATAGTCTCCTTGACAAGACTCAAGAGCCATTTTGGTCTAGGAGATAAGACATCTGGCTAGAAACTGGGAGATGGTGAATTCTAGTCCCATCTTAGACACAAAAGATGATTGGGTGACTGGATCAATAACCAGATGACTGTGAGTTCTAGTCTTAGCCATGAAAACCAGCTGGATAATGTTGAGTCAATTCCCAGGAGACTGTGAGTTCTAGTCTCACCTTAGGCATGAAAAACAGCTGGGTGACTTTCAACCAATCACCAGGAGAAGGTAAGTTCTAGTCTTACCTTAGGCATGAAAGATGGCTGGGTGACTTTCAACCAATCACCAGGAGCAGGTGAGTTCTAGTCTTGCCTTAGGCATGAAAACCGGCTGCGTGTTCTTGGGCCAGTCATTCTCTCTCAGCCCAAATCACCTCACAGTCGTGTTGTTGTATGGAAAACAAGAAGGGGAAGATCTGTTGCATGTGTTCCCTGCCTTGAGTTATTTGTAAAAATAATAAAGGTGGGATACAAATAAATAAACAAATAAATAAAATGTTGTGGGTGATGTCATCAAGGCTGAGACCCACCTGCGCAGGTCATCCTGTTTTCCTCCATCTTCAGGATCCTGGATCATGACTCTCAACAGCCTACAAGCA